ATATGTAAAATCTATCTATCTATCTATCTATCTATTCAACTGTTTGGTTATTGGAGGAACAATCTTCCCTCTTAAAAGCATTCATAAGACCACTTTGGTCTCCCCAGATGGAAGAGCGGAAAACCGCATTGACCATTTTTGCATCTCCTGAAAGTTTATTCGGAGTCAGAGTCTTACGAGGAGCAGACGTCGCATCATTTTATCCTTGGAAAGATGAAACTGAATCTGAGAAGGTATGCACAAGTCACAAGTGAAAGTCGTCAAAAGTATAAAGTGAGCCTTCTGAAAGATCCAGTAAAGAAGAATTGAGTTCAAGTTCGAACTGAAGAACAGATTTCAAGCCCTTCAAGATGCGGACGGATGTGAAGTAAATGAACACCGGGACAAGAAAAATGAGGCAGAGCACCCTAGGACTCAAAGTCCACACCAGGAATGAATGGATTTCACAGGAATCTCTAGACAAAGTCAAAAGAAGAAGAGAGCTGAAGGGCCAAATCAACAACAGCTATACCCGAACTGAGAAACTCGCTGCACAACAAGAGTACACCGGAGTAAACCGTGAGGTGAAGAATTCCATCAGGAAGGACAAAAATACCTGCCTGAATGGTTTGGCCGAAAAGGCAGAGAAAGCAGCAAGAGACGGACACTTGCAGATTGTACACCAGACAACAAAAACTCTTTCAAGTAGGTTCAGCAAGCCCACTGTACCAGTGAAAGACAAAGAGGGAAAGACTACCTTCATCCCAGGGGGCAACTGAACCGATGGAGAGAACGCTTTGATCAACTCTTGAACAGACCACCTCCAGAAAATCAACCTGAAATTCTTCCAGCCAGAGATGACCTCCCAATAGTTACGGAACCACATTCGGGAGACGAAATTGGTGCAGCTTTAACATCACTGAAGTCCTAAAAGGCAGCTGGTCCCGACCAAAAACCACCAGAAACCCTAAAGGCGATAAAGATAAATCAGTGGGAATTCTCTATGCTCTTGTCGAAAAGGTTTGGCAAGAGGAGGAAATACCATCAGACTGGAAGGAAGGCCACCTAATCAAGCTGCCAAAAAAGGAAGACCTCAGCAAGTGTAACAACTACAGAGGCATAACACTCCTGTCCATTCCTGGTAAAGTCTTTAACAGGATACTCATGGAGACAACCAAGCTGACAACAGACGAGAAGCTCCAAGGAAACCAGGCACGATTCCGCAAACATCGATCATGTGTGGACCAGATCGCTTCTCTGTGCATCAATATTGAGCAATTGCTTGAATTTGAATGGAATTCACCACTCGTGGCCAACTTCATTTATTATGAAAAGGCATTTGACAGCGTGGACAGGGAAACTCTGTGGAAACACATGCGGCATCATGGAATACCTGACAAAATCGTCAAGCTTGTAAATGCCACCTATGAGGGAACAAACTGCCAAGGCTTCCATGAAGGACAACTCTCAGAACCATTCCAGGTACAGACAGGAATGCGACAAGGATGTTTGTTCTCACCTTTTCTCTTCATACTGGCAATTGACTGGGTCGTGAAAGAAGCCACCAGAAGCAAGCGCAATACAGTGGGTCCCTTGGCAGCAGCTGGACCACTTGGACTTCGTCGATGACCTTGCACTGCTCTCTTACACACATGCTCAGATGCAAGAAAAGACCAAGGACCCCAGCAGCCTATCAAGAAGTGTTGGCAAGTCGAAAGTAGTGAAGCTCGGAAAAGTTTTAAGCCTTGCTGTGACAATGGAAGACACTCCCCTGGAAGAAGTGGACTCCTTTACACACCGTGGAAGTGTCATCGATGGTAAAGGTGGAACCGAGGCGGATGTAAAGCGAGAACCGCCAAGGCAAAGTCAACATTCAATCAATTATGAAAAGTCTGGAAAGCAAGAAACATCTCACTGCACGCCAACGTTCGACTCTTTAACGGCAATGTCAAGTCAGTGCTCCTCTACGGCTGCGAAACTTCGAAGGCAACAAAGACAGTACTGAATAAAGTCCAGACTTTCATCGACAGATGAATGAGAATGTAGTGGCAGGATAGAATAAGAATTGAAGAGCTGTGGGGAAAAAAGGACAAAAAGATATAGAAATAGAAATGGGACTAAGAAAGTGACTATGGATGGGACACACCTTAAGAGAGCCCCGCTAAATATCACAGAACAGTCGCTGCAGTGGAACCCAAGGGAGCACGAGGTAGGGGTAGGCCACGGGAAACATGGAGGAGATGTGTTGAAAGGGACATGAGAGAGATGAAGCTCACTTGGAACGAGCTTGGAAGGATGGCCCAGGGCAGAGATAAATGGAATGAGCTTGTATGTGGTCTATTATAAACAACAACAACAAAAATAATACATGTAGTAGAGATGGTGATAATAATGATAATATTAATATTTATCATTATTATTATTAT